TAGAACAGCAAGGGGGAGGGAAATCAGCTATGCCACATGATTGAGATGAGCTAGAAAGCAGGAAATATAGGACAGAATAGGGCAGGTGGGCGGGGCCAACTAATCGTTGGAGCTACTGGTTCGCTTGAACCGGTCCGAACCAGCTGAATACCACCTCTGCAAAGAGCCCTCCTTTTGCAGTTGTATGAAAACACTGGAGCTTGTGGGGGTGACATTATAACATGTGCTTCACCGCTTTAGTGCCATCGAAGTTAAGATCACCTTGGTGTCCCCTATTATTAAAAAAAGGTGTCCCTTTTTATAAAAGGGATCCTGTCTTTGGATTGCTGCCGTAAGGAAGGCAACTTAATCTCTGCACTGTTATCCTTTTGACATCACAAAGAATTTTTTTCTGAGTCCCCCCCCCCTTTTTTTTGCATCTTGGATTCTTAAAATTAATCTTCAGTTGCTTTAAGATGGACAGATCTGGATAAACGGGCTAAGCTTTAATGTACTTTGCCCCGGTTTTCTATTTTTATGTGATGTCAAGCCTTTTATGTTTGTGTTGTTCTTATTGCTTGCTTCAAGATAGACTGTATCTCCAGGCTGTTTGTACACCGCTTCAATCTGTCAAAAAGAAAGAAATGCAATTTCTCTGTTTAAGAGACAATATAGAGAAGACTGGACAACAGGGAGTGTTTGGTCTGTTACAGCTGGACTGTTTCTCCCTTTCAGGGAATATTTTCTTTGGGAAATGATGACAAAATGGGGAACACTGCCTCTGCATCTCCAGTTCTTTGCAAGAGTGATATATTGCAAAGAAGCATTTATTTGACTGTTACGGCATGATGTTGGGCTCCATTCAGTGTTTCATTGCACTGGCAAAATAAATCCTTCTCTTCCCCCAAATCTGTTCCAAAGGCGGAAGAGGCTGTCTGTCAGAGGAAGCTTTAATTAAAAATGCAAAGGATCTCATGAAAATGGAACGGTATTCGAAGTCCTAGAAAAGGATTTCTTAACCTTGGCAACTTTAAGATGTGCGGGCTTTAATTCTCAGGGTTCCCCAGACCTGTTCAACTCCACATGTCTTAAAGTTTGCCAGGGTTATGAAAGAAGGAAGTCAGAAGGAAGATAAGTGGTGAGGAGAGGAAGACGGAAGGGAGAAGGAGAGAGGGCAGGAAGGGGAAGAGGAAGAGAGAAGTAGGGGAGAGGAAAGGGAAGAAAGAATAGCAATAGCAATAGCAGTTAGACTTATTTCCCGCTTCATAGGGCTTTCAGCCCTCTCTAAGCGGTTTACAGAGTCAGCATATTGCCCCCAACAACAATCCGGGTCCTCATTTTACCCACCTCGGAA